GGGCCATGTCATTAGTTTTTCATCTTTAAGGCCTTTACTGGCCAGCCACGCAGTGGAGTACTTTGATGCATGTGATGGAGCGTTGTCTTGCATAAAAATCAAAGTCTTCTTGAAAGATGCAGACTTTTTCCTGTAGCACTGCTTGAAGAAAGTGTCTTCTAAAAATTGGCAGTAGGTCAGAGTTGATTCTGAGTCCATGTTCAACCCGAAAAGGTCCAACTAGTTCATCTTTAATAATACCAGCCCATACCAGTACCCCACCTCCACCTTGCTGGCGTCCGAGTCGAAGTGGAGCTCTGTGTCCGTTACTGATCCAACCACAGCCCCATCCATCTGGTTCGTCAAGAGTCACTCTTATCTCATCAGTCCACAAAACCTTTGAAAAATCTGTCTTCAGATATTTCTTGGCCCATTCTTGACGTTTCAACTTATGTGTCTTGTTCAGAGGTGGTCGGGTTTCAGCCTTTCTTACCTTGGCCATGTCTCTGAGTACTGAACACCTTGTACTTCTTGACACTCCAGGTAGGTTGCAGTTGTGGAATATGGCAGCACTGGAGGATAATGGGTTCCTGGTAGCTTCATATTTGATTCTTCTCAAATCTCTGGTGGTTAATTTGCGTCTTTTCTTCTCAACACGTTTCTGGCGACCCTGGTGACTATGTGCTATAAAATGTTCGATGGTTTTGTGATCACGCCCCAATATCTTAGTTATTTTAAGAGTGCTGCATCCCTGTGAAAGACTTTTTACAATTTTTGACTTTTCAGAGTCAGTTAAATCTCTTTTTTGGCCCATTTTTCCAGAGGAGAACATTCTGCCTAATAATTATGCACACCTTGATATAGGGTGTTGATCTCCTTAGGCCACACCCTCCCTCGTTACACTAAAACACATCACCTGATATGCATTAAGTCCAATAAGCGTTCAAGTTTATACTGCTTGGAGTTGGAAATTATGGATAAAATGATGATATGGTCAAAATACTCACTTGCCTAATAATTGTGCACACAGTGTACTCTTCTGGAAAAAACAACATAAAAGTCATATCTTGAGCTCAATAAAGGATTAATCATGAAGGACAAACAAGTGGTGGTGGTGCTTTGTCTTTTCCATGTCTCCATCTTTCCTCTTCCTCCTCTTCAGGACTTCATCACCTCCTGTCCCCCATTTTGCTGATTGCAGCTCGCCATGCTCCTCTCCTTTAATCCGTTGTCAGTTTATTAAAAGTGAAATCTCTCCTCTTGAATTTCAATTGAGAGGCTTCAAAGTGAGTGACTCAGTGGTTGAGGGGGTCATCAAACACGTTCGGTGTTTTAGTGTTACAGGCCTCAGGGGATTCTCCAGGCCCAGCGCTGAACAGAGTGGATCAGCTGAAAAACCTGGCATTTTTTCTGTTGATCACATCACAAAAGCCCCATGGTCACACAGTGGAAATCAAAGTATTCAGATCCTTCACGTTTTCACACTTCACAGTGTTGAAGTTAAAATGTTAAACATTTTTCCTTTAATTTGTCTACACTCAGTATTCCATAATGACAATGTTTTTAGACATGTTTGCAAATTAGTTCTTCTTGAGTACACTAAGTCTCTCAAAGCTTTGCACATCTGGATTGGGGAATTTCTTTCATTCTTCTTGGCAGATAATCTCAAATTAAGACAGATTAGATGGGAAGTGTTAGTGAACTGCCATTCACACTACAGATGGCATTATCCAGGTGATGAGCAAAGAGTCTTATCAGACCAGTTACTGAGCCCACTGTGCTCCCCAGGAACACTCACAACTTTAGAAATTGTTTTATACTCTTGCCCTGATCTATGTCTTGGCATAATTTTAGGTCTACAGAGAGCTCCTTGGGCTTCATGGCTTGGTTATTGTCCTGACATGCAGTGTGAATTGTGGTCATTTTATCCCTTTAAAATCAAACACAATAATGTGTGCAAAACAGAAGGGGGCTGAAAATGTTCTGCAGCTTTTTTCAGTGTTGTTGACTTTTCTGCCAGTTGATTCAAGCCTACCCAGCTGAGAGAGGGATAATTTTCCTTTAGCTGTGGACAACCTATCAAGCCAGTTGCACCCACTCAAATTCAGTGGTAGTGCTGTTTATATGCTCTTCTGAAGTCATGCTGTTTTTGTCCCTGAAATGTTCTTTTGAAGAGCTTGAAAACTCACTGATGATTGTGGATTTAGGCTTAGGCTTTGTCAAAGAGTACAACTGGAACAATAAGACATCTCAATCTCCATGAATTCACATACATCATGATTCTTCTGTCCAGACTGTCAAAAACATAATTTGAGCAGACACAGCCTTCCCCATGAATCCAATAATGAATTAACCTGAGCTGGCCGCTCTTTCTATGGCCCATTTGCATGGATGTATACATTCAGCACATGATACTGTATAATACTGCATGTCTCTGATCTCAGCAGGGACTGTTTTTCTCACAAGAACAACCTGTCATACATTGGAAAAGACAGCTTCCCCTTGATTTATCCTTTTTCCAAATGACATTTCTTTCAGTTAGTTGTAATCAGCTGGCAGAAGATGAAACAATGACTGAAAAGTAATAAAGAGAACCTGCACTTACTCTGATTATTTGATTTTATTTTTCAACTTTTTAGACCCAAAAGGAATTGCATGACTTTTATTTCATGTCATTTTTATGAGACTTCTTCCATGTCCACCATATCCTTTTGAAGCCGTACAACTGATCTAGGTACAGGTACCTAGATGGGTACTTCTGCAGTTGCATATAATGGGAATTATGATTTGGTAAAATAATGATGTGGCCAATATACTTGTTTTAGGAGGAAAATAACTACACAAACAGGACTAGAAATTGATCTGATGCCGATCCTGAGTGTATTTATTATCGCAATTGCCACTAAACTGACTGCACAGAACATTTATTCTTTAATACAACCTGCTTTAACTCTGTGTGTGTGTGTGTGTGTGTGTGTGTGTGTACTGTTCTATGGCTACTTTAATATGAATTATTGTGACACTATGTACGTGTATCGCAGCAGGGAAACCAGCCAGAAGCTTAATGACTGACTTGAATAATTTCCTGGACTGATAGCTGTTACTGTGTTTGATGTTTTTCTCCAGACATGTCCAGAAACAGACATGTGCAGCCATCTGCAAGAGAAAGCCATATGCACTTTCCGCTAGCTAGCCCAGACGGCTGACGCGACAGCTGTGCAGTGTGCCTCCCTTTGCAGCTTCTGCATTAACACACATTATAATCTAAACAAGTAGTAAATGATGACAGAGAAATCTAATTTTTTGATCAGTAATAATTTTGACATCCCAGCTGTCATTTTGGTGATTTTCTTGAACCCCAACTCATTGAACTGAGAGCATGTTTATTCATTAGCTAAAAAAGATTCCAGAGTGATTAAAGAGAGGTGTATCATTAGACTAACTGGCTGCTCCCTTGTCAGCATTGGCTTGGAAACAACACCTACTGGCCCTCTCTTTTCATTCTCCTGTCTGATCTTCCTCTTTCTTTGCCTTCCTTTTCATCATTAGATGGTGGTTCTGATGGACCCCATGGAAGACCCAGATGACATCCTGCGTGCCAACCGCTCCAGGGAGAAGACTTACATGTTTGACGTGACATTCGACCACTCAGCCAGCCAGGTCAGTCAAACTTATAAATAAATAAATCAAAAAGTGAATTAAATGCACACAGATCTGGCAAAGCATGTGTGTTTCTAGAATGCCCATGTGCATTTGAACCATTTAAGTTGATATTCTTCTTTCTGTATAGGAGGAGGTGTACCGAGCTACTACCAAAGGGCTGATTGAGGGTCTCATATCAGGCTACAATGCCACTGTGTTTGCCTATGGCCCCACTGGTATGTATGAGAGAGTGTGGTTGTGTGTGTATGTTACACATGGCCCAGCTTGATTACTTTGCCCTCTGTTTGAATAGAGGCATATCATCCACAAATTGCACATTATCTTTCTGGCCCTTAATTTTTGGTCTGCCTCTGTCTGACTCAGCTAGTCAGAACAGAAAAGGGCGACACATCTTATTCACATCTGTTTTGGCTTTTAATAGCAGGTGATTAGACAATGAGTCATGCTTTACCTCCCACATTTGCAGTGAATAGGGACAGATTGTCAAAGAATAGTTAGCGTTGTTTCTCTATTTAAATTACCCATCTGCCTGTCCATCTGTCTCTGAGATTCAAACCTGTTTGTCTCCTATTGTGGGGAAACAAACACAGGGGTTTTAGTGTGTGTGCAGTGTGATCAGGCCAGCCAAGGATAAATTAAGATGGCACATCTGCAGTTTTTTACGCTGTTGTGGGTTCGGCAGGAGGTAGCATGGACAGGGACAGAAAGAGACTTAACAAGCTGGTTAAGAGAGCTGGTTCTGTCCTGGGCTGCCCTCTGGATTCTTCAACTTGTCCTTAACCCAAGTAGTAGTTCCTCGCATTTTCAAAAAAACTATTATCATACCAGTCCCTAAGACACCAGACACATCCACTCTGCATGACTTCAGGCCAGTGGCGTTCACATCAGCCACCATGAAGTGCTTAGAGAAACTGGTCCTCACACACATTAACCACATGGTCCTGGACACTGTAGACCCCCTCCAGTTTGCCTACCGCCCCAAAAGATCGGTGGACAATGCGACGGCTCTGGCTTTATTCCATACCCTGAAACACCTGGACAACAGCAGTGCGTATGCTAGGATGCTCTTCCTGGATTACAGTTCTGCATTCAACACCATTCGCCCGGGCAGGCTGATTGGGAAGATGACAGACCTCGGTGTCCCAACTCCCACCTGTAACTGGATTCTGGACTTCATGACTGAAAGACCACAGGTGGCCAGAATGGGAGGGTGGGTGTCTGCTGAGCTCACAATCGGCACAGGCTCGCCGCAGCCCCAAATTCTTCACCGTGTACACCCACAACTGTGTCTCCAGCTATGACAACACCATCATCATTAAATATGCTGATGACACCGCCATCCTGGGCCTCATCAAGGGGGGAGACGAGTCAGGTTACAGAAGCTTGGTGAACGACATTCTTGTTTATGGAGAGGAGAATGACCTCATCCTCAACATAAACAAGACAAAAGAAATAGTAGTAAACTTCAGGAAGAACCCCTCCCCTCTGCTGCCTCTGACCATCAAAGGGACTGAGCCACAAGTTCCTTAGCCTGCAGGCGACATCTGACCTGAGCTGGTCACTGAACACAGCAACCACAATGAAGAAAGCCCAGCAGCAGCTATACTTCATCAGGCGGCTCAGAAAAGTTGGGTTGAACCGTCGCCCTCTCACCCAGGTTTATAGAGGACTGGTAGAGAGCATCCTCACTACTGGCATCACAGTCTGGTATGGTAACACCACACAGGCAGAGAGGAAGGCTCTTCAAAGGGTCATAAAGACTGCAGAGAGGATTATTGGTACTGAACTGCCTGCTATGGACACACTATACAGACAGCGCTGTTATAAAAGGGCAGGGAACATACTCAGGGATCCACGCCACCCAGCTCACTCTGCTCAGACACAAAAACTGCACCTACAGCCTCAGGCACAGCAGGGCAGACAGTATCATCACACACAGAACAAGACTTTAAAACAGCTTTTTCCCTGCCGCAGTAACACTGATGGCAAATACAAAAATGTGAGAAATGTGAGAATATAGGTGCAATAACCCCTTACTAGACATGTGCAGTAATAATACAGAAATGTTTCACAAGGTATTTTTGTAAGAGCATCTCATCAACAGTGTTTTCTTGTGGGACCTGAATAATATCAGGACATTCTCTACCAAACAATGGAAACAGAACTGAATATAAACTGTGTTTTAGTATGTTATAACCCCTCACTACCTCACCAAGCGTAATGATATATCCAACTCCACCATGTGAATTGCTAAGTGTGATGTTTGAAGTTCACTGGATAAAATACTATTAACCTATTTTTGTGTTTTGTGGTTTTAATGCTTTGTTGCCTTCATGTAAATTTTTATTTTCAGTGTTCTTTCTGGCTTTTGACTCCTTACCTGACTCCAAAGGAGAGCTGCACAAGAATTCCTATATGCCTAGACTGTCTGTTTATGTATAAATGGCAAATAATCTTGATTTGACTTGACTTGACATCCTGAACATTTAGTCATTTGGACATAGTAGATACCTAGCTTTTATTTTTAGCATTAGCATTGTTTTATTTAGAATACAGTGTTTACTCTAGTTTAAAAGGATTATAGCATCTTTAACTGCATTAATTTTTTTTTTTAATTTTAGATACCACAAAATGTTTTTTTTTTTTTTTTTTTTTTTTTTTAATCTTTATTTTATCTTGAGGTCCCATTGAGATCAAGATCTCTATTTTAAGGGAGACCTGGTACCTGAGACCTACATGTATATTGCTCTAATGTCACCTTATAAAGTTGTTGTGGAAACCTTATGGCAAACAGTTGCCTAGTTTACATCCTTGGGATAGTGCTGCTCTGAGACGAAGAACAGCATTATCCTTCATTTGAAGTCATGCTTCTGGCCACCTAGATTAATTTAAGTCCAGTGTTTATAATATTCTATTATTGCTTGAGCATTTAATATTCTGTATGTTTCCTTTTTACACAGTGTATGCATTTCCCCTAGATCTATATGAGGAGGTAACTGGAGTAAAGTTCAAGTTGTGCAGCGAGAGCAATTGTCTGGCTTTTCGTCTCATGTGGAAACTTACCCATGGGATGAGGTGTAGTTTCATTAATGGCTCGGTCTAGATGTATAGAATGACGTGGCATGCTTAGGTAAAGCCAGATGTGTAGAGGAAGTAAACAAGGTTGACCTAAGAAGAGTTTATGTAATGTTACAGAACTTTTCAGCCAATAATGTTTAGGTATCTTCTCATAATATGAGATATTAGCCTTTCTCATGGTACATTCTCATCCATGCTCAATCCAAGTGTATCATTTAATTGATATTAAACCTTGATGAAATACAGTCTCGTATCTGTATATATTTTCCAACTTGATATCATTTGAGCATAACAGACCATAAATATATTTTCTCTTCTGTGCCCAGGTTGTGGGAAGACGTACACCATGTTGGGAACAGACAAGGAGCCAGGCATCTACGTTCGAACGTTGAATGACTTGTTCCGTGCCATTGAAGAGACCAGTGACGACATGCTGTATAGCGTCTCCATGTCCTACCTGGAGGTCAGAATTTCATTTCCCACAACTTGTCCCAAAACATGTATTCTCATCACAAACGTAGAATCATCTAATTAACGCAACAGTGATGACACATCTACTAATTGAGCTGCGTGGGCTTCATTATGGTTCTAGCTATTAACTTGATTACTCAGAGTGTAGAGATTTCTACTGAGTTTGTCACATTAGAACTGCAGATATTGATCCTTATTTCTGTCAACATCACAATTAGAACTTCTTTTGCGGTCATCTGTTCAGAGCGATAATGTCTGACGCTGTTAGCTAGTGCCAGTTGCAGGCAGATACTCCTGGTGTCACTTTACTTTTTCCTGGCATCCGTGTCACACCTGAAATGAGCTGAGCTGGCATCCTTATCCACAGCCTTGGAGAGGAGCTCAGGTACAGATGAACAGACTTTGCAGAACAAGTTAATTCCACACTGTTATATTTTATGTTCTTTCTTGCCTTGAGTTTTTTTTTTTGGTCATGGTCTATGTGTTGTATTAAGCACTTTAACAACCTTTCAAATGGCAAGTCAAAGGTGCCACACAGGCACACTTGCATTACCTCCCCCTTCCTTGTTAAAATTGTAAGGACTTCCTGCTGCTACCTCAAAAGGAGAGTTGCCATCTACTAAAGAAGTCAGATTGTCGGCCACAGAGCTTTTAACTATTTTTCTTATCCATTTCTTTCAAATAGCAAAAGCAAAGCTATTTAGAAACATCTCAAGAATGATCAGTGGAAACAGAATGCACCAAAGCTCAATTTTGAGTGTTATGGCAAAGGCTGTGAATACTTATGTACATGTAATTTTTTTCATTTTTTACTTTTAATAAAGTTGCAAAGATTTCAAACAAACTTTTTTTCACATTGTCATTATGGGGTATTGTTTGTAGAATTTTGAGGACAATAATGAATTTAATCCATTTTGGAATAAGGCTGTAAAATAACAAAATGTGGAAAAAGTTAAGCGCTGTGCATACTTTGTGGATCCACTGTACAAACTGAAACACTTTTATTGGTAATCATACTGAGTAAAAATGTTATTTTGTTTTATTTGTCCCTCTGTGATGTTCTGTGATTCACCTGCCAACACAGACTGAATGTGCTGTTGATTAGCTGGCTGAAGTGTTTAAGCGTTTACAGTGGAACTGAGCCAAAATGAAATGAAGCAAGTCGACATAAAACATTAAATCTGTTGCACTTAGTCAGCATTAGTTCTTTAAGGTCAAAGTCTTTAGATGGAGTATAGCGGCCAGGTGAATGGAGACAAGGGGACTATACTAATAATGTTAGCAGAGCATCAAACCGGGGTTGTTTGTCATTCTAATGTCTCATTATCTTTTACTCCAACATTACAAGAGATTGGACAGGGTTTACAAACTTATTAAACACCACAGTAACCGATTAGAAAATGTAAGCATATAGTTGCCTGTGTTGCACAGAAGTAAAGAAGAATGAGTCCATTTTATTCAGAAATGTTTACACTGTCAGGGAAGGAAGTGAGCATGAAGGACAGAAAGAAAAGAAAGGGATTAAGACGCACATGACAGATGGTAAATGTAACCTAGTATAAAAGAGCAAAGCTGAAAAGAGCATTCAGCCTTTGATAGAAAATGAAAATGGCACAACATAATCACTTGTTGGGTACAAATTTCATCCGATGGGAGGAGGGCTTGCATCAGACATTTAAAATTACATTTTGGGTTTTCAGTGCCAGATGCTATTTATTATGTTAAATGATTGACAAGCCTAGCTCTTCAGTAGAACTCTGGGTGGGTGTAAGTGAATATTTTCCAATTAAAATGCTTGTTTTGGAGTCTGAATATTCTCTGACCTGTACTGAGCTGTTCAGGATAAATCTTGACATGAGGCCATGTGTGACGTGTGTGTTTGCCGTTTCCAGGGAGCAATCTGTTGCCACTGCCGCCTCACCACAAAGACGATAAATGCCATTTACAGCCTGACTGAGTGATGTGCACATATCTGCTGCCTTTCTTGTTCAAATCACACTATCTTTTACAATGCAATCTCTAAAACACATGCACAGAAACCCATGCAGTGAATGGACTTAATATACACAGTAAAGTCCAACTAATGGTAGGACTGCCATGAAATTGGATGAATCTCACTGATGTTGTTGATCCTCTTTTCCTCTAGTGCCAACGTGAGGTTCACATATATGGAGAATGCATTGGATGGCTTGCCCTAAAATCTGATAGACATTCATGTTCCATAAATTGTAATAACTTTGATGATCCTCTGTCTAGTGTCATAATCAGTGGGATTTTTTTATTTGTTCAGGTGTTTGGTTTAGAAGCAAATACCTGCAAAATTGGCCATTTTGAGTATGTTAGTATGCAAACACCATTAAAGCACCATTACATCCACAGCCTCACAGAGCAGCGAGCATGGCTGTAGGCCCTTAGGCTTCAAACTTTACCAGCAATGAAAGAGTAGAGATGGAAAAAATAACAGAACAAATACACAACTTCAGTGTCAGTAAAAGCTTCCCCTTGTCAGAGTTTGTGGCTGGGGGCCACTTGACAAGTTAAAAACAGTCTTTACTGTTCCAACCTCTCAGAGATTCGTCATCCAGTGGTCACTTTCCAGGATGTCACTTCCTGCAGTAAACTTTTATGTGGGCCAACAGGCTTTCATTGCGCTGTCAGTGACAGTCATCTGAATTTTTTTGTGAAAGAGTCCATGAACATTGGCTTGATGATAGCCTGCCACCCAACAACCCGCGGTTTCCAAATGACAGGCTTCTGAAAATATAGTACTTGTGTGTTTTTATACCAGGGCCTGAAAGCCTGAATGGAGCCTTGTCTATGGACATAAACATCCTTCTATTTGATTCATGTCTATCTATATGTTAAGGAATATAACGTGTAGATAAAATTGTTCTTCAGTTTTCTGATCTTTATTTCAAGTGCATTCAGCTGCCTATATTTCTGTCCGTGTCTTTTTAGATCTATAATGAGATGATCCGTGACTTGCTGAATCCATCCTCAGGCTTCTTGGACCTGAGAGAGGACTCGAAGGGAGTGATTCAGGTTGCAGGCATCACTGAGGTGTCTACCATCAATGCCCAAGAGGTGAGACAAGCTATCAAACCCACCACTACATGACTCATTTATTTTAATGAAAACATTCAGATTTCATTGAGTGCATCTGCCTGTGTGTTTTCAGATCATGGAACTGCTGATGAAGGGAAACAAACAGCGAACCCAGGAGCCAACAGCCGCCAACCAGACATCGTCTCGCTCCCACGCTGTGCTGCAGGTGGCTGTCAAGCAGCAGAGCCGCTGTCGAGACGTTCTGCAGGAGGTCCGCTTTGCACGCCTCTTCATGATCGACCTCGCCGGCTCCGAACGAGCCGCACAGGTGTGTATACTGTATCTATACAGTACTCTGTCAGGAGATTTTAAATGGATGAAGCTGTGTTTAATTTGTAGTTGTACAGGTGAAGAGTTTATATGGTTTATGTATATTTTTTTTTGCAACTTCTCTGCCAAATTCACATTCTAAGACGTAGCTAATTTGTGCATTACATACACTGCTCCTTTTACATTTGTAATGTACAGTATAACCTCGCAACCTCAAAGGTCTGCGCTTATTTCCTGTAACTGTAGCACTGTGGTCTGCTCCTTCGGGATGCTTTGAAATGAGTCTTAACAACAATCCAGTAGATTGATGTTGTCATAAACCTCAGGAGATTTTATTAAAAGCCTCTCTCTATCTGCCATTATGGTCCAGCATTATTCAGTATTTTTGTGCAGAAGGACAGGTCTGTGTTATCAGGCAAAAAGTGAAAATTATCTCTGAACCAGTTCATTTTCTGGTTTTTGTTATTGCTTTGACCTTCTCTTTTGAAGCAGTCAAGTCAGCTTGTTGAGAATGATTTGTTCTGTTTATTGGCAGTTTCAAGCTCCCTCTGCTTTGAATAGTTTGTAATTGTTGCCCATGTTAACACTGCCATGTCCTCGTATACCACAAGAATAACATGCAAACAGTCGATGAGTGAGAGCATTTATTTACCATGGAGACTCCTTATTTGAAACATTCACAGCCATACTGTTGACGAATAGCACATTTGACCTCTATTAGGAATTGAGCAGAACAGAGAGTTGTTTGTAACGTGAGGCCATGGGGAACATTTTCTCTGCCTCTAAGAAGAGGACAGTTGAAGGTGATTTAATTCAGCCAAGTATTGAAGGAGAAAAGGTACAGTAGGAGGTAGCACCATCTCCTGGGCGAGAGCGGAAACACAACTGTCAAAGAAACTCAATACATGTTCAGAGGTTTAGGTTAAAGCCCCTGAACATCTGGTTTGTTTATTTCTCCAAATGTTCATGACTAAATAAGCAGCAATCAAAGTTGAAAAAAAATCTTTATTCATTCATTTAAACAAAAAAACCTTCCTTTTCTTTCGGCTTTTGATTGTCTACTCTCTAACAAAGGCATAGAGGTTTTCTCACTCACATCCGTCTGCCTATCTGTTAGACTCAGAACAGGGGTCAGAGGTTGAAAGAAGGGGCCCACATCAACCGCTCCCTCCTGGCTTTGGGAAACTGCATCAATGCCCTGAGTGACAAAAATGGCAACAAGTACGTCAACTATCGAGACAGCAAGTTGACTCGCCTACTAAAGGTGCGACAATTTAGAAAGAACCATCTCCAGGCTATAACAATTTATTTTATAGCTCTTGTATTCATGTGTTTTTCTTTTTTTTCTGCTTCTGACATCTTTGATTGACAGGACTCACTGGGCGGGAACAGTCGAACTGTCATGATAGCCCATATTAGCCCTGCCTCTGTGGCTTTTGAGGAGTCTCGGAACACACTGGCGTACGCTGACCGTGCCAAAAGCATTCGAACACGGGTGAGCTCACTACAATTAAATATGTCATTGTATCTCTGGAAAATATAATTCACCCAAGAAATTGTTCACTAGACAGCGATATTACATTTAACCTTGTAGTTAGTGCATATAGCTTTATGGGATTGTTGCTGATCAATGCAAAGTAATTGTACTTCCAAATTCAGCTGCTTGCAAAAATCCCATCTAAATAGCTAAACAGTTTAGTCTCTGTCATCACCGTGTGCTTCAGGTAAAGAAGAATCTGATAAATGTGTCATACCACATTGCTCAATACACCAACATCATCTCAGACCTGCGCTGCGAGATCCAGAGGCTCAAGAAGAAGATTTCAGATCAGTCGAGCCGCCAGCTCACCTTAGATCGGGCTGACATCCGCCATGTCCAGGGTAAAGTGTCGTCCACGCTGCCTCCTTCAAGACATGAAGAGTATCTGGCAATGATGTCTAATGTTTGTATGATTATGACTGTTTCTCTTTTATCCCTTTTCTTCTCTCATCATTTTTCCCCACTTGCAGCTGAAGTCCAGGCCCACTCTGGCCAGCAAAGCCAGGCGGAGATGGACCAGTTGAAGGAGCAACTTCTTGATGCCTTCCGCCAACAGATGGAGATCAGGAAGACCCTGATTGAGCTGGAAAACAGCAACATGGAGATCCAGATTGACAGCTCCAAATACCTGCTAACTATTGCAGAGTGAGTGATTAGCATTTATGTCAAACCCCTCTCATCTCATAGTACGTCACATACAGTGCCTTGCGAAAGTATTCGGCCCCCTTGAACTTTGCGACCTTTTGCCACATTTCAGGCTTCAAACATAAAGATATAAAACTGTAATTTTTTGTGAAGAATCAACAACAAGTGGGACACAATCATGAAGTGGAACGAAATTTATTGGATATTTCAAACTTTTTTAACAAATAAAAAACTGAAAAATTGGCCGTGCAAAATTATTCAGCCCCCTTAAGTTAATACTTTGTAGCGCCACCTTTTGCTGCGATTACAGCTGTAAGTCGCTTGGGGTATGTCT